GGGGGTCGTCTCTCGATGGGGCGAAATAGAGTCGTCGTCAAGATGCTTCTTTGGGGGGCCTATTGGGGTCTGTTGAGAGGCCGTTCGGGGGCGCCTGGGAGACATGTTTGAAGCCTTCTGGGGCTTCTTTTGGGCCTCCTGGGAGTCTCCTGGGGCCTCTTGGCGACATCTTGGGGCCTCTTGGAGGCCTCTTGGGGCCTCTTTGGGACCTCCTGGGCGACTTCTGGGACGGAGGGCTCCATTTTTGAGTTCTCGGTATCCCTCCTGAGTCCCTCTTGGGCCCGTCTTGGGGCCTCTTGGTCCGTCTTGGGCGGCACTTGGGCCGTCTTGAGGGCTCTCTTGGTCGTTTCGGCGCCGTCTTGGGAGCTTCGTGGGCCGTCTTGGAGCGGTCTTGGGGGCCTCTTGGGCCGTCTTGGAGCGTCCGGAAGCCGAAAAAGCCAGAACACAAAAAACATCGAAAAAAACAATGAAATTCAACGATTTTGGCCTCTTGGGGCTCTCTTCGGAGGCCTCTTGGAAGGCTCTTGGGGCGTCTTGGAGGCCTCTTGGGCTGTCTTGGGGGCCTTTTGGGCCGTCTTGGGGTCATCTTCGGCGTATTCGAGCGCTCTTTGGGCGTCTCGGGGGCCTCTTGGGCAGTCTTGGGGGCCTCTTGGGGCACTCTGAGCGCGCTCTGGGGAGCCTGAGAGGCCGCACCCAGAAGGAAAACCATCTCTGAGTAGACTTGGTCGGGCGGCGGTCGGGCGGCGACCGGGCGTTGGTCGGGGTACTTTTCGCCGGGGGACCCCCAGGGGCCGCCCCGCGCGCGCGAACTAGAAATACTGCTAATACTGTTAACCAGTTACCGGAGATCTTAGCACGCCCTGGCCCGTTGGGCCGGCGAATTTTGCTCTCGCGGAGAAAGAGAGAACACCTCCCACCCTCAGATCATCTCTGACTCACTCACATGTAGACTCACTCATCTTCAGACTCACTCATGCTCAGATGCACTCGCTCTTAGAGTCCTGATACTCAGGTTTCTCATGCTCGGGATCACTCATATGCAGACTCACTCACGCTCCTGGTACTTCCGCGCTCAGACTCACACACACGTTGTGAGGATGTCTCAGGCGAGGTGCTGGCTTCAGTACTCCCAAGGGGGGTCGCCAGGGGGTATTGCACGGGCCCGTTCGCGCCCAGATTGGGGGGATGTCTCAGGTAATTTGCTTGTTTGGGTGCTCAACATCCTTCTCTTGCGGAGCAGTTTCCGAGGATGTCTCAGGCGAGGCGCTGGTTTCAGCACTTCCAAGGGGGGGCGCCATGGTGTATATCACGGGCCCGTTCGCGCCCAGATTGGGGGGATGTCTCAGGCGGTTTGCCTGTTGGGGTGCTCAACATCCTTCTCTTTCGGAGCAGTTTCCGAGGATGTCTCAGGCGAGGCGCTGGTTTCAGCACTTCCAAGGGGGGTCGCCAGGGGGTATATCACAGTTCGCGCCCAGATTGGGGGGATACCTCAGGCGGTTTGCTTGTTTGGGTGCTCAACATCCTTCTCTTTCGGAGCAGTTTCCGAGGATGTCTCGGGCGAGGCGCCGGTTTCAGCACTCCCAAGGGGGGCCGCCAGGGGGGGCATTGCATGGGCCCGTTCGCGCCCAGATTGGGGGAGTGTCTCAGGCGGTTTGCCTGCTTTGGGTGCCCAATCGGTGTCCCCGGGATTTCTGTCCGCCACGGCTGGGTCCGCCTTCCGACGCGCCCCTTGGAATGGTTCAGTTTCGCGAGCAGTGGCTTGCGTGTGTTTGGCAAGGGCCCACTCACCGCGACTTCCTCGCTCCGCGGAGACGCTGCCTCCCCCTGTCTCCGTGAAGGTGTGTGCGGGCGACGGCTCCGCGCGACGCGAGTTCGCTTGCTCCGTGGAGCCCTCGCTCGCGCTTGTCTGATGTGTGTGTGTGTGTGTGTGTGTGTGTGACGTCGTGTTCTGTCGGACGCTTCGCCTGCGCGCGACGCGATGACGCTCCGCGGAGGTGTGGCGTTCGCACTCGTATCCGAGCGTGCCTGCGTGGGCGACTGTCTCGCGTGAG